TGAGATTTTCTTCTCTAAAGGAAAATTCCTTTCCTACCCGAGTCACTTCTGTACTATGCAATTTGAATTGAGAGCCCAAGACATTGTGTCTTCCATATAGAGTTGGGTCTTAGGCCCACCCCACAGTGTGAGGAGGGGAAGCTCTCTGTCTTTTCTTGGAGCACCCAAGCGTCAGATCTTCAATTCCTGTTTTTGTTTGTTTGTTTAAACTCAGAGCCTTGCATTTGCTAGGTGAGTGCTCTGCCACTTGAGGAGCTCCAGCCCTTTTTGCTTTAAGTTATTATTATTTGTAAGATAGGGTTTGGCTTTTCCTGGGCTGGCCTGGGACCAAGATCCTACTACCTATGTCTCCTGTGTAGTTGGGATTGTAGACATGTTCCATCATCTTGGCTTATTTATTGAGATGAGGTCTCATCAACTTTTCCTCCAGGCTGGTTGAATTGTCATGCTTGCAAATCTCCACCTCCTAAGTAGCTAAGATTATAATCATGAGCCACTATGTCCAGCTTCAATTCTTTCTTAAAAGCATGTGAAGGGAGGGGCCTTGTCAGTGATTTGTGGGAGATAGTGAAATAATTAGTTCAGAGGAATCCTCAATTTGGATCAAGAATGGAATCACATTACAGAATGTATGTGCATGCAGTTAAAATGACAGTGGGAATTTGGTTTTTAGCCACCATTTCTTTTACTCGGGACTGGAAGGAAATGCGGGGGGCAGGGGGGTCCTTGTTCAGGGCCACACTTTCATTTGTTGATCGCTGCTAGCTGTGGGACCTGGATGTCACCATACATTCACTTTCTCTTTTCAGGGCCAATATCCCGTGCATACTGTGTTCAATTTCCTTCTCATCCAGGGCAAGTGATGCCCCAGGGGCACGGTGGAGGCAAATGGTCTGTCTACTCATTAATGACTCTGGGAAATGCTCTTTAACTGTTCTGTGCCCATTTGCATAGGGGTTAGAATTTTTTAGGAATTGCTAAATATTAGTAAAACCTGATCTTCACTAAAGTCAGCAGGATGCCCCAAATTCTGAGAGTTCACAGAGCCTTAGGCCATTCATTGCTCATTTGCTTAGAACAGTCTCAGGGCTGAGTGGGTCTTGGTATTTCCATTTTATTGATAGAAACTGAACTGGAAATTCAGACTTAGTGGCTAGCCCGGGGACCTGCTCAGATGGAGGTTTGCTTTCTCCTTGTTGCTGTCCTATGTTCTGGCTGAGGGTCCAGTGTCTTATGAAAGCAGGATGTAGGAATGATGTCTTTGGCCACAGGCCTCAGAGGGCATCTGCAGGTCTGCACACAGGAAGTTTCACAAAGAAGCTAGGGGCATGAGCACATGCTGGCTCTTTCCTGTGGAGCTTCTGGAACCCATTGCAGAATATCCCAATGTTTTGGGACCTTTGAGTGGGTGGGGGTGGAGGGTGCAGGAACACAGAGCAGGGCATTACTTTGAGTGACACAGTTGGTTGAATCAGCAGAAGGAAGGCAGATGAGCCTCTGTCTTGACCGAAGCTCTGAGCTGGAGGTAGCTGGGAGGACAACATGTACCATGACTCAGGCATGCACTGACGGCTGTGCTTTGGGTATGGTCCCCCAAAGGTTCATGGGTTGAAGGCTTGTTCCCCAGGGTGATGATATTGAGAGGTGGAGGGACTTGTGCTCACCCTGACTCTTTGAGCTGTATGATTTTGGTTGTGGCCCCAAACCAACAACCAGAACACCACTGTCTCATCATTGCCAGGTTGTTGACAGAGCTGTGTGAGAAACATCACTCAAGACCCAGCTCTGGGTCCAGTGATGTTGCTTTCATCCCCTTCCCTCTTAGAAGTATGCCCTGGATTCTGGGTTGAACGTCAGAGTGCATAGGCTTGGGACAGGCTGAGCCTGGAGGAGATTGTGAGGATGGCCTCTGGCATCTAGTCCGGAACTGGGCAGAGCAGAATTTGGGCCTGGAAGGCAAAGCTTTTTCTATCCACTGGAAGGGACAGGCAATAGCAGTGTCTCCTTGCAGTTAACCACAGGTGTGCCTTGATTCACTATGACAAGGTGATGTCCCCATAGATCCAACGTAAGTGGAAATTGTGAGAACATAGTGAATTCACCTAACCTGGAGAACAACCTACCTTAGCTGCACGGTCCCTGGCAGAGTAGAGGTTGTGCCTCCTGGTGCTTCTTGGGTTGACCAGGAGCTGTGATTCAATGCAGCTGTCTAGCATTGGCAGAGGGTTGTGCTGCATGCAGCCAGCTCCAGAAAAGGTTGAAATCCAAATTTTGAAGTATGGATTTCTTTTGAATTCACATTGCTTTCACACCCCTGAAAAATCTGAAATCAAGTTGAACCATTATAAATCAGGGACTGTCTGTACTTCGAATGGTGCCACATTTTTGGTGTCACAACTCCACGTAGTGCTACTTAAAGAATCTGTGTCCTGTTTAGGGTAAAACTAGCAAGATTCTCTGGGGCCTTAGCTTTCCCAAGGCCAGAGGCATTCCAATATTGATCTGGTTCTGTTCTGAGGGACTCTTGCAGGTGCTCCCAGCAACCACAAGGCGTCACTATTGGCAGCTATCAGGCATTGCTAGCTGGGGAAGAATGGTTGACAGTGGATTTCAGAAGCTATGAGGTGGAAGCTGAGAGAGCCCCTTTCTTTGGCCCAAGTTAGCTGTGGGTGAACCTTGCTTGCTTTCTGGGAGGTGATTGTCTTTTGTGCCAAACCCACTTATTCTGCAAGTGACCTGAGCTCCAGCAGGTGGAGTCACAAGAAGCCTCCCTATGTGGGCCTCCTGGTTTCCCCTCTCAGGGGCTGGGAAGCCTCCCCTTTCCACAGGCTTTTGTTTTCCCATTCCCTAACTGGGGCCCCTGATTCCACCAGCCCCGCCCCCCCCACAACCTGTAGTCATTCCCTTCTTCCTTCTAGGGATGGACTCTTTCTGAAGAAGGCACACCAGTCTCCTGATCTAAAAGTTTACACAGGATGGTATTTTATGAACCTCTACCCTGTGCCAGGAACTGTGGAAGTTCCTTCCTTGTACTGTCGTATTTATATCTTCAAGATCCTCTCTTATAATTCACATGGCCCAAGATCACACAGAACAGCATGTAAACATGTCCACACACATACGCAGTTTAAATCTTTTTTGATGCTGTTCTCTATGTATAGGATTACCTACCGATTTCAGTGACACTCCACCACCCTACAAATTGCTGTTGCTCTGAAGCATTCAGTTCTGGAGGTGGGGATGGAGATCAGTGACTCTTCTCCTTGGACAGGGGTGGAGTCCTGGGGACAATGGAAAAATTCGCCCCAGGAAGGGCAGCAACAAACGATCTTCCAGAGCCAAGCACTTCCTGGACCTTCCTCCTAGACTCCCACAGGAACCTCCTTCCTCCACACTTCTACAACTCAGTTCTCTTCTTCCCTCATCTGTGTCACCATTTGCTGTCAAAGGCAGAAACTTGGCCGTCATTTTGGTCTCTCCCTTCTCACTACCAATCTTAATATTGACCTTCATGTGGATTGTAGCTCCTTAGTTTCTCAGAATTTACACGGTGCCATGGTCATTCTCCCTTACCCTTTTCCTGACAGTATTGACTCAGACCTCTCTCACTCTTTGCCTGTATTTCTGTTTTCCAAGTCTTCATTCTTGTTTCTGTCAGAATGAAGAAATGAGCTACACTGTAGCTCATTTGATCCTTTAAAAGTGTATCTACTACTCTGCTCTCCTGTTCTGAACCTTCCAGTGGCTTCTAATCACCTTTCAGCAAAGCATTAGAAGGTGCTAGCCAGTATTTATCCATCTCCTAAGTGCCTTTTCTGTTTCTTCAGACTGAGGCCTCTTCCCCTCCCTCAGAACTTCCCCAGCCACACAGACCTATTCCAAGAGGGACCTCCAGCTCCCTCTGGCCTCTGGGCATCTGGGATCTGAGCTTTCCCTGCTTAGAATGCTCTCCCCTTGACCTCTACTGATTGAATCCCAGATGCCTACCAGGCATCAGCCTAGATGTCCCTACTTGTCTGAGGTATCCCTTCTCTGGTGCTGCAGTGCAGCCACCATGGCACTACTCACTGTTCATAGATGTTTCTGCTACTAGACTGTAAGCTCTCTGAACATACGACACTGATGTATCCACATCTCCTAGCACCAGCCCAGCGCTCTCCTGATATGGTAGCCTTTGCGGCACCAAAAAATTCTCCATCTGCCTTCGTGGAACGCACAGCCCTGGGAGATATTCTGCATGTGACATCATGAGGGGCACTTCCACAAGTGCCTTCTTAGGGACAGACCACATGCTGGAATCTGGGAGAGGTTAAATTCACAGAGAAGGTTCTTGTCTACCTATAAAGGACAAATGCTTTCTTTGAGGACCAGAACAACTTACCTTGTGTCCTCCAAGCACTAACAGGAAGCGCAGTCCTTGGGAGGCTGGGGGTGCCTGCAACATGGGCACTGTTGAATGGAGTTAGAGAGAGGGGAAGGTGACCACCTGGTGCCGGGGCAATCACCAGCCCTGCACAATTAGAAAGACCAAGGCCAGCTTTGAGAGGTCCCTGCAGAATTGCTCTGGGATCTTAGAGGCAGAGTCGGGCCTGGCGAAGTTAATCAGACTGCGTAATAACTAGTTTGAAGGGAAGACCTTGATTCCAACAGGCTTTGGTCATCTTCATTTTCTCAGTCCCAGATTTCTCTTTTGAGTTTTAAAAGCGGCAACGCACATGTCTTCTCAAGGCCACTTGCCTGCGACAGAGCTCTGCCCTGAGGAATAGAACGATGCAGAAGGCGGGAGAGAAGGGTGTCTAGGAGTCTTGTAACCTGTGGAGAGGCCCTGTTACCAGCAGGTCCCCAACCCTCCTCCACACTCTTAGGGCTGGGCATGCCCTGCCGCTCCTGGAGGCTCCAAGCCTCCTGAAGCCCACGGAGTTCTGGGAGCCACCCCTGGGGGTCCTGGGACTCCGGTGGGTCCTTCTGGACCTGGATCTAAGCTCTGTTCCCCTTTCCAGTGCGCAGGTCCAAGGCGGCTGATGAGGAGAGGAGCCGTCGAGCCCGGAGCGCCCGGGATGAATACCGGCGCCACTCGCTCCGCGCCATCCAAAAGGGCACAGTCGCTGGCCTTAGCTCCATGTTCCGGGAACTCGGCCAGAGCCATGAGCAGGAGGCGAGACTCTACCAGCCTCTTCCCGGCCCGGGTCCACCACCGTCACTTGCCGTGCCTATCAGGTGGGTCAGCAGCTCCGGAGCCTAGCACTGGAGCTGCAACACGGGGGATCCAGTCCTGGCTCGCTAGTCATTTCCCCCCGTGGGCCTCAGTGTTCCAGGCTGTGTAATGGGTTGGAAGCCCCAGAGGTAGGGTGAGACGGATACTTCTATCAACTTTGCAGTTCTGTGAGTCTTAACTTTCTGGGGTCTAGGATTCCTTTGATAATCTGAAGAAGCTGTATACCTTCTTCCTCTCAAAATGTGCCATATGAATACCCCAAAACATTTGCACAGTTTTCAACTCCTAGGAGTCTATATGCCCTAAGTTAAGAACTTGTAATAAAGGACCTCAAATTAGCTAAGTGTGATCCAGTAGCTGGAAACAAAGGTTTGCTGACTCTTCTAACTACCATCAGAGCTGGTCTGGCCCCAGTTTGATTAGCAAGTTTGCAGATTAGTGTGGGTGAGTGCAGGAGGTGCCCTCACACATTTGTTTCCTCAGGATTGTTGTTTAGTAAGGACACTTAGGTGACAGCTAGTGATTGACAGAACCTAAGATTATGAGGTTGCTGGGATCTTCTCCACCTTCTACCCTTTCCCACCTGAGGCTAACCCAGAGGTTTGGTTGCTCTCCTCTTGGGTGCCCTCCCACCGTGATGCTGAGCAGACACTGCTCCCAGGGAGGGCAAAGATGGGTTCCAGCTCCTGGTGCTCCCTAAAACACAGGGAGTATTTGGGAGTCAGTTTGCCCCCAGATAATAGGGGTTGTCTGAGTTTTGCTTTAATTGGGGTTTGGGGTTATTTATAACCTCCTGCTTCCTTTTCTCCTTCATTCCCTATCCCTTTCCTTCCTCATCATGTATGATTTTCAAACAAGAAAGTTTAGGAAGAGGGCAGCACACAGAAGCTCTGACTCCCTCCCTTCTATTCCATCTCCTCAGCTCCCTCTTCTGCTGTAGGTCACTACCGTTCTCAGTGCCTTATGTATCCTCCCAGTTTCCTTCTGCAACATGAAAAGTCTTAAGCTTCCCTCTGTTTTTTTTTTTTAATAGCTTAGTATTGTACTGCATGACGTGCCATTATTTTATTTATCAAACACTCTGTTAGCAGATATTGGTATTATTTCAAACCTTTTCTTATCACTAACAGTGCCCTGTAGAAATTAGATTTATGTACTTGCAACCATTCCCTGATGTGGGAGCTCTGGGTCAAGGATATGTGTATTTGAACTTCAACTTGCCCTCCATAACCTGGTACCAGTTTGCACTCTCATTCTCTAGCCTGGCAGACAGGGTATCGTCAAACTTTTCTGTGAGAAATAACATCTCAGCGCAAGTTTCAACCAACATTTCTTTCTGTAAGTAAGAATAAGTTCTCTGTATATGTTTAAGGGCCATTGATCCAGCCTTATCTCATTGTCATTCCTCTGCCCACTTTTTCATTGGGTGATTCGTCTTTTTCTTATTGATTTCTAGAACTCCTTAAATATTAGGCAAAAAGCTCCATTTTTTTCTCAGTTTGTCATTTATCTTTTAGCTTTTGTGATAGAGTTTTCCATCATGCAGAAATTCTTTATTTTTATAAGGTTAATTTTTTGTGTGTGGTTTCTGTATTAGGGGGGCCTAGTTAGAAAAGCCTTCCCCTTCCTATGCTTTTTAAAAGAATCCTATAAATCTGTCCCTTTGGCTCCTACAATGGAACGGCATGGCCCGTGGTGTGGCCTGGCTCTAGGCTGGTTGTGTGCAGTCAACAAGGGTGGCCTCTGCAGAAAGCATTGAGGGTCAAAATGCTGGACGATGGAGCAGAAACCCAAGGCCACTTGCCTCTGTCCACATCCCTCAGCTAGGTGTCGCCCACCTTTGTCTGTGCTGAGGGGTGGATATACAGTGCCAGAAGGAGGAGAGTTACAAGTGCCGGAGTGAGGCTGGTCACTGGCTAGGTGGTTCCTTGGAACACCTATCCTAGCACTTATATTCTGGGGAAATGAGGTCCCTGCTTAGAAATTCTCTGCTTAGAAACAAATTCAAATTCTTGCTTAGAAATAGGGACAAGAGGGAGTGGATCATCTCTACTGTTTATAACTTCCTATTGCCTTCTAAGGAAACCAAGTCCTAGAAACTAGAGGATTCTTTCCTCTGGAGAGTTATTTTTGGGGGATGCAAATGCAGAGGAAGAGGCTGGGTGGAGCAGTGCTGCCCAGGGCTGCTTGGTAGAGAGGAAAGGCACCTGAAGGAATAAAAAAGGGGGTAATACCAAGGGAGGATAGGGAGCAGGGCCAGCTATGGGGTGTTAGGGAGTAAAGTAAAGTCAAGAGAGGGGGCAAGGAGAAAGTTGGATTTGGAGAACACACTCAATAGACATGGCTGCTGTGGTTGGCTATGGGTTGAGTTTGTCCCTCAAGGGTCTATGTGTTGGCACCTTGGTTCCTAGTGTAGCAAAATTGAAATGGTACCTAGCAGAGGTCCATTCTTGTGGAAAGCTGAGATAGTTATCCAGAGAGTGAATTGTTTCAAATATCCTATCCTGAGTCTTGAATTGCTCTCTGCTTTGTGATGTGATTTCTCCCTCTTGTAAGCACTTCTGCCATGATACTATTGGCTATTAGGCCCTCACCAAAGGCAGAACCAGCGGGGCCACCTGATCCTGGACTTTTAGCCTCCAAAATCATCTAAACAAATCTTTTCCTAAGTAGCCTGCCTCATGTGTTTCATCATAGCAGGGAAAACCATATGAATACAATGGCGTTTGTGCAACATAGCCTCACCTGCTGCCTTTCTTCCAGCATATTTTTCTGAAATCTTCCACATTCACTACCATTTGTGTGCAAGTGTGCACATATGTGTGCACAAAAGGATCCATTCTGGGACTTGTGAGGAGGGGCTGAGGTCTTAGCTAGTGTGTCAGTACAGAACAGGTACAGAGACTACCTGACAGGGCAGCTGGAGTTTATTTTATATTTATATTTTATATAAATATAATATTTCATATATATAAATATAGTATTTTATATTATATTTATTTTATAAAAAAAGGACACAGGGTGATTTTTAAATGCCAGTACTGTTAGGTGAGTAGGACTTACTGAGCTCCTGTTACTCAGTTGGAAGTGGTGAAAAGGCTGAGATTGTTTAGATGGTATACACTCATTCCATGAAATCAGGCAGTGTGGTCTTTGTACAACTCAACAAATGTTGTTGGGAGCCTGTTAGGTGCCACGTGCTGTCAGATTCTTCCTGGCTTCATGTTAGAGTAACCCAAATGTAATGGGGGTTTTATGTGGTCCAGTCTCTGTGTGCATTGGAGAGAACCACAGTTCAGACAAAAATGCAATGAAAATTGGCTCACCTTTGAGAAAGCATTGACAGTGTCCAATTCATTGTTCTTAGGTCCTTCACTGGCTCCTACTCATGTCACCCCATCACTGATCCCCTGTCTGTGGTCAGCCAATGGGCAGTTTTGTTCCTTTCCTTCTCATTTTCCTCTGTCCTTGTACTTTTTATTTCCTGTATGTAGACATCCAGACATTTCCAGAGCAGGTTTTCTGGTTTGTGTCGATGTCCTAAGTCTACCTTACAAGACTGTGAGAGCTAACTGCTAAAGGTAGGGGTTCCCTCAGAGGGGATGGCAAGGAAACATGGAAGGGTCAAAAATCAGAACTCTTTAGTTGGGGAAAAGGGGATGGAGACGCTTTCACACTGATAAGTTTGTTCATATTTTATTAGGATCTTTCTGCATTGATGCAGATACTTTATGCTGTGGCTACTCACAAGGGAAAACACTTCCTTTTTTTCCCCTTAGACATCTTCTTGTATTCTCTTTTTACTTCCTCCCATGTGGGTTTCTTTGAAGCAAGTGACAACAGTTGACTCTGGGGAGAAATAATAGCTGCTGCATTTTAATCTGCAAAGTGCCCTCAAGGACCCGTCTCCTTGAAGCCCTTTCATGGCATGGGTGTGGGTATCACACATATTCATCCTCCCAGTGGCCTCTCCCTCTTCTCCTTCCTCCTCCTTTCTCTCCTTCTCTCTCCCCTTCCTTTTCTCCTTCCTTCTACTCTTCTTCCTCACTGCCTCCCTCCCTTCCTGACTCTTCTTCCCTCCCTCTCTCTCTCTCTTTGCAGCAGGACTTGGGAGCGCCCACTGCGTCCACTTTCCAGAGAAGTCATCATCCGCTGGTTTAAGGAGGAGCAGCTGCCTCGCCGAGCTGGCTTTGAGAGGAACACCAAATCCATTGCTCCCTGGTTCCACGGTAGGATCACTTTCTGGGCCCTGCAGCAGATGATGGGTTGGAGGAGGAGATCCTGAAGGATAGCTGTACTCAGTGGTGGAGGACTTTGGACTCTATGCTGCCTCCCTTCTGGCCCTACCAGCTCTGGCAGGAGTGAAGAAGCTGAGGTGTCTGGGATGCTAGACATGTACCCCCTTTTTCTGTTTGGAACAGGTGAACACCAGTCTTGCCCACTGCTGTCACCACACAGCCTCCTTGGCCATCCAGCCTTCTCTGAGGCATCTTCCCTGTGCTCTCACTGGTCACAGAGCTGCTGGTGGGCAGGAACCACATCTTGGTGTCTGAGCCTGCATTCCTGGATCTTGTCCATAGCCCAGCACACTCTAGGCTTTGAATAGATTCTTGTTGATTAATGATAGATGGGTGAATGAAGAGGTCAGAGTCATCCAAACATACAGTGTTACAGATGGGAGGTTCCGTGGAAGTCATCTAATCCCTTCATTACAGATAAGAAACTGAGGGAGGAAGTTTCCATAGGGTACCAAGAGACTTGTAAAGTCAAATTCAAGAATGTATCTCGAGGGTCATCTCAAAGGTCATGACCTCAGTCCAGTGATCTGAATATGCAGTGGCCTCAAGTAGGGAAATATGGCTGTGACTTCAGTAGAGACTTGCTTCAGGAAAATAGGAGTGGCTACCAGCCACCAGTTTCCTCTACATCGGTTAGCTATTGCGATATAACAAATCACCCCAAAACTCAGTAGCTTAAAATAAGCATTTATTATGAATTATGAATTATTATTATTCATGAATAATTCTGAATCAGTTGGGTGGTTCTTCTAGTCTGAGTTAGGCTCAGATGATCTTGGCTGAACTTGTTTATGTAGCTGGGGCTGGCTGATGTAGGATGGTCTCAGTTGAGATGTCTCCTCTCTGCCCCATGTGGTCTCTCATACTCCAGAAGCCTGGCTCAGGTTTGCCGGAGACTCCCCTGGTTGGAACTGATCTCCCCTGTCACAATTATTACCCACCTGATCCTTACCTGTCTCTTTTTCTCACCTTCCTGTCTCCTGGGAGCTTGACTAGCCTCCATCTTGGCCTGCATTTGTCCTGGTGATGTGAACTCTCTATCTGCTTCCTGGCCAGCTTTTATGTATTGTCAGTTCTATCCAGATGGAGAGATGAGCTCAGTGTCATGGTAGGTGCTAGAGCTCTGGCATCTTGAGGGCCAATAAGAGGCTGGCAGAGAGAGACCATATTGGCAAGCTCTGGGCCTGGCTCTGGCTTCAGGGAAGGCAGCTGTGATGTTTAGAACAAATCACACAGCACTGGAGTAAGGCCACCTGCATATTCACTCCCACCTCCAGGTGTCCGAAGAGCTTATGGGCTTTGACATGCGGGTAACAGGCACACTCTACAAATGTCACAACCGAGATATAGCACTGAAGGGGCTGCCAAAGACCGCAGAGGTGGTGACAGCACCAGTCTAGGCAGCAGGAATATCCTCATTGGTTTGTCCCTTTCACTCTATAGTTCATCCTCCACACAGCATCCTGAGATTCTTTTAAATACAACCAGATCCTGTCACTCCCCTGCTCAGTACCCACTGCTTCCCTTTATGCATGCAATAAACTGTGAACTCCATCCTGTGTCCCCTAAGGCCCAAGTGACAGGGGACTTACCTGTCCCTACCCCAGTCTTATGCCAGAATTGCCTCCAGAGCTATGGTCTTTTTTTCTGTTCCTCAAATGATCCAACCTCTCCTCCACCTCAGGCCGTTTGCCCTTGGGATTGCTCTGCTTGCCTTTGCCGTCCTTCCCCAAGTCTCTGCATGGTTGACACATTCTCATTTTCCATCTGAAATATCCCATCTTCAGAGAGGTTTCTCCTGAACTCATCTAAAGCAGTGTTCCTCAATTCCTCTAATTTACCTTGTTTATTTCTGTAAAAGCACTCATTCCATTAGCATTTCTTTTTTGCTCGTTTCTTCTCTCCCACCTGAATGTAGTCATGGAGGCTAAGGACCTTGTCTATTTTCCCCAGTGCCTGCCACAGTCGGTATCTATGGGAGGAATGGCCAAAGGCATTAGATCCTAGGCTTTTCAATTCCAAAGAACAGCCCTCTCTTCTGTGCATTGGGCCCTGGTAGTGTGTGAGTCTCCTCACAGCCTAGGAATAGACTGAAAACCTGGAGCCACATGTGAGAAGGTTGTCTTGCCTTTCTAGTTGGCCAGGTGCTCAATGAAGGCAGAGCCCTATGTCTTAGGTCCCTCTGTATTCACCCATGCCCTCCCCGTGCCCAGAGACCAGTAAAGAAACACAGCCAAGATAAAGTCACCATCTTCTGTTGTCACTATTACTGACCTCTCCAACTCCACTACAGCATCCCCATTGTGTAGGTTCCAATGCATAGGTCTGGCTTGGTTATACCTCAGTAATACACACACAAGCCGTAGGGTCTATGACCTCCACTGACCAAGGTTTATTTCTTACCCCTGTCACATTCTGTTGGAAGTTGGTTGTAGATACTAATCTAGGCCTCAGGCTGAGGGAGCTGCCTCTGTTGGAAATTCCAATGGTTTCGTGGTAGGGGAAAAAGACTCAGTGGACTGTAGGGTGGCTCTAAAACTTCTGCATGGAAGTGACACCACCACTGTTATACACATTTCATTAGTTAGGGCCAGCCTGGCATCCACATCATAGTGTGATGGATAGTCTTGAATAACAGAATCTGTTATAGCCATCATCCACTTCTTTCTCCCAGGCTTCTACATGTCCAATAGACAGATGGAGTGGCTCTTTACGGCTCAGAGATAAGACAGTCAACATGCATAGGTGACTGATCCCTGTGTCCCTGGAGCTGGTCCTGAGGATTCTCTGCCTCTCATGTCTGTCACTTTGTGTGTCCCTGAAGCCTTTGATAGAGCTTCCATTTGAATCACCACCTTTTGTTTCACTCATACATTTTTTATTATCATGGAAGTTCTGCATAGCACCTTAGGCACCTGCAGTGTAGCTCAAATGCCTGTGGAGTGGGGTGTGACAATTGCACTGATTGCTCAGAGGTGCTAGTGGCAGCCAATGGAGAAGACACAACAGAGGTGCTGGAGTTTATCTTTAGCTTTATTTTCTACTTGATGGGAAAAAAAGGTAATTTTAATGTTGTCACAGAGCAAACAGAACCAAGATTTAAGTCTCACAATTTATGTAACTGACTTCATGCTTTCTTGAGAGTTCTACCATAAAGCATGCAGGAAAGTTGCTAATAAACAGAATAGAGCTATTTAGTGACCAAGTTTTCATTGATCTGTGAAGAATGAAAAAAAAAAAGAAAGGTTCACATATGGAGGATGGCCAAGTGTCTTTGCTTAGGAAGGTCTGTGCTATATTCCAAGATTACATCCTCTTCTTCAAGTTTAGTGTTAAAATGTCCTATCTTTTATGAATTGAAGATGATAGTAAGCATGGTTAGTTTTATATATTGTCTTTGACAGGAAAAACAAAATGTTAGCAGACCTGTGTTGGTTCCTGAAATTTTTTTTTTTTTTTTGTAACTTTTCTAATTTCTAAATGCCAAAGTCTGGACCAACTAGTATGCTCCAACTTCCTCCTTCATTCCCTACAGAGACAGGCAGCTCACCATCCCCCAGGCAGTACACACTAGTGTAATTGTTAGGGAGTTTTGCTGCAGGTTGGGAAGGGCCTCTGCTCTTGCCTGGATGTGGCTGGGCACCTTAGCTGGGGAGGCTCTGCTCCACTTGTCTCCCATGATCCTTTGGGGGTGTGCTGTTCTCATGGAGATGGTACAGGTACCATGGCAACATAGTGTGAGGTTCTCGAAGTCTGGTCTTAGAACAAGCTCACTGCTACTTCTGCCTCATGCTGTTGGCCACAATTTGTGATAGACTTGAAGGGTGGAAAACATATTCTGTCTTTTTCTTGTGAGGAGCTTCAAAGTCATATATCAAAGGGGATGGAGATAGGAAGCTAAGAAGAATTTGAGCCAATATTCCAATCTTCATAATTCCAGTATAATTTTTTTCTTTCCTGGGTAAGACATTCCTAATTAATTTAACTGGATTTTAGATGAAGGTTAAAAAAGAAGGCTACCATGATTTCTACTTTCTTCCCTTTCCTCAAATATTTGGAGGCACAATGGTATAATCCAAATGGCAAGGTACACAAGGGGTCTGAAGGTAGGGGACCCATTCTGCAACCTAGCAGCTCTGTGACCTTGGGTGTATCCTTCATTTCCCTACTTTTGACTGGCATTATCATATAAATTCAAAAGCTATCTAGGGAAATCAAGTCAACAAACATGCTTTGTCCCCCAGAAGGAACCATAATCATTGTGAAGACTGGTGTTTCCTGTAGTCTGGGATCAACCACCAGAAACCCCCACCTCTTCTGAGAAACAGAGTGAGGGGAAATGGACTCAGAGCACAGAGGGGAGGGGGCAGAATGGCTTCCCCCTGTGACCACAGGCTTCCGATAATCCCCTCTGTTAAAATGAGTGGTGGAAGGTAATTCCTTGTTTCTCATTTGCTCATTGTTATGTTCCAGGAAGTAAAAGAGAGACTTGCAGCTATACAAAACTACTCCTGAGAAATGCCAGTGCATATAAGCTTGGCTTTGAGAAAAATAATTTTGGACTTCAACATGTATCTAAAATGATTAAGAACATCCTCTGTCTGAACACTGGCTCATTCACAGCCCATTTTTCTTTTTTTTTTTTTTTTTATTCATATGTGCATACAATGTTTGGGTCCTTATCCACCCCCCACCCCCTCCCTCTTTCCCCCACCCCCTCGCTACTCGGCAGAAACTGTTTTGCCCTTATCTCTAATTTTGTTGAAGAGAGAGTATAAGCAATAATAGGAAGGAACAAGTGTTCCTGGTTGAGATAAGGATAGCTATACAGGGAGTTGACTCACATTAATTTCCTGTGCCTGTGTGTTACCTTCTAGGTTAATTCTTTTTGATCTAACCTTTTCTCTAATTCCTGGTCCCCTTCTCCTTTT